AATAGGGTTGCAAGGGTCTAAGGTTTAGGTAGGGTTTGTGGCTTCATTGATTTGTTAGGACATCTGCTCGGCAAGCCTTTCAGAAAAGGGCTTGTCCTTCCTTGATTTACTGGGTTCTTCACCGCTTCCTTTTTCCTTTTAGGGTTTAGGGTCCTAGGTTCCTTATCAAACTACCTAATACCAAAAGGGAGCCCTTTTTATTCCTAGGTTACTGGGCATCCTAGCCTTGGTCCTGGAGTGGACGTGAAGCTTTGCCTTCCGGATTTGGAGTTTCGGGTTTAGGATGCAGGTTTGAGGGATGATGGATTTCACTGTTGGGCAGGGATGTGTGGCCGCGTGTTGCTCCAGGTTGTTGTTTCGGACTTCGAGGTTGTTTCACCACTGCATTCAGTGTATATTGCCCCGGCTTATGTCTAACGCAAGCCCGGGTCTAGACAGTTATGTGACCGTGGAGACTTTAATGCAAAGATCATCTAGCCTACTAAGTACCTAGTACTTAGCAGTCAGTCTGATGGTTAAAGAAGAGTTTGTTATTCAAAGGGTTTAGACCTTTAGATACTGGGGTTGTCCCGCATGAGAGAGGGTATGCATCACGCGTACGTACATAATATGGCTGAGTCGCTATACCCATCAAGAGGAGCTTTACTCCTAAGCTTAGGTTGTTGTGGGTTGCAGCTGTGTTGTTTCAAATGCGTTTCGCCCGGGGACACATCAGACCTGAAACTCTAAAGACTAAACCCCGCATTGCCCCACAAGCCTAAACTCCCTAAGCTCCCAAACCTCAAACCCTTTAAGCCTAAATGGTGCCCAAAGCATCCTCAATGCAGTAGGAAATTGAAGCCGTCGGTTGAGACTTCCTGACGACTCACTGAAGAGACAACATCGTGGGGTGGGTTCGCGGTTCAGGGTTTGGTTTTTCACTCCCCTGTTTAGGGTTCATGGTTTGGGGGCCTCTTCTTTCCATGAAGAGCACTTTTACACTGAATTTAGAGGCTGTGCTCCAAGGATTCCATATTTGGGCAGACTAACTCTACCGCCCAGCCTCGCCGGAATCCCCATTGCCAAGAGTCCCATCAACTCCCCACCCCTAGTATAGAAGACAATTCCAACATAGTTCCCTAGAGTCCCCTACGACAACTACAATATAACATGCTACACCCAAAAAGGCCAGCTCTAAGTATCAATGCATCCTGGACTCCTTCGAGTGCTCCTCGTGTCCGCACCGGCACAAATCCCTAGAGCCCTTAAGCTGAACCCAAATCCAAAAAGTGCTTATAACACCCTAAATTCCTAAACCTTCATACTCAAAACCATAATCACCTGAAACGCATGTGGAAGCCACAGGTCAATGCTCTCTGGATCTCTTATGACACAGACCACAATAAAGCCAACACGTGGGGACCTTGGGCTATCAACTCTGCCTCGTCCTCATCGTCATAGGGCTTACTAGGATGCCCAGAAGTACCCTTATTCCCTTTTTGTAGTCCTAGGTTCCCTATAAAGTTACCCAATACAAAAAAGGGAGCCCTTTTTATTCCTAGGTTACTGGGCATCCGAGTTTAGGTTTATTGTAGGAACCTACTAAATAATCAAGGCCCGAGGTTTCCTTGCATGAATCTGACTATTTAGGGGTTACAGGACCAGGGTTTCTTAATCAAGTTCCTACATTACCGGCTTAGGGGTTAGGTGTTTAGGGTTTGGAGTGTAAGGGTATAGGGTTTCACATTCACCACAGTAATCATGAACCTCATCATCACAAACATCGGTGCACCATCATGATTAGGGTTTGGAGGTAAGGCGGTCGAGGGTTTCCTATCACCTGGGCATCCTTGCCAGCCTATGTGCCCCAGTGCCCAAATACGGGGCTGCCATACTATACTATAGCTTTCTGCGGCGTTATCAACAGCGATGCTGTTGGCCGTATGCTGTTATGTGCACTGACGCGGTTCTCGCGACCGTTTGTCTGACTGCTCCCAGGCATTCCAAGTATAGTATAACTGTACTTAGCGGCACCATGCATGCCTGTTCGTCATCACCGGTGTGATGGTACTAACCTGTTTGTATGCAGTTTCGGCTTGAGCCCCGTCGGCCCACTGTGACGCAAAAGGCCGCTGAACCACTCAGCCGACATAACCGAACTCCCTGCTACCCTACTGGTGCAGCCCCCCTGAACTTCTAAACCCTAAACCCTCAAGCCCTTGCCGTCTGCAAAAAACCCTCCAGGAACTTGAACCCCTAAAACACCTGCAAAACCCGAAACCATAGACCCTCAGCCCGTTTCCTCTGCTGAGGCTGTTAGATGCTCAGCCGCAGTTTCTGGCCCACCGCTCCTGTTTCTTGCGGCCGGAAATGTCGCTTTGTGCCCCTGGTCAGGGACCATGGGAAAAACAGCTAAACGTAAACTAGTGAAGCCTACCCGTCAGTAGGAATGCTACCTGGGACAGTGTTTATGTTTAGGTGCTTTGTTGGGCTCTTTGTTGGGCTCCTGAGACATTCTGTCCTCATCAATGCTCCTCAAAAAAAGTTGAAAGGGGTTGGGTATTAATGGATTGAACGCTCGGGATTGAAGGGTTACTGCTGTCAACAGAGAAAGCACAATTTTTCCAAGAAATCTGTGTCTCATAAACCCAGAACCGAATTCATAAACCCTGCTTTGGCCACCGGACCTTCGTCGTCTCCGACCTTGTCTTGAGCTTCTAGGGCCTAGGGTCGTGCAGAGATACCGGAGGGGCCGTGAAAAATCGAACGCGGTTTTCGGGTAATACTCTAAATGCCAGGAGAAAGCCTAGGCGGTGTTGTAGTATCTACCCAGGCCCTTGTATTATGCAGCGCTGCCTTCAGCATTGGCAGCTTCGGAGATTCTGGTTTCGCTTGGAAGAATGTGGGATTTTCCGAAAATTAGGGGTACCTTGTTTTGGGGTCCTTCTAAAAAGGGTCCTGCTATTGAGTTTCGGAAACTCCCATGTATGTGCTGACTTGAGTTCGGGAAAGCCGCAACCCACGATCTAGAAACTCTGGGATGGTCAATTCGTTTTGCAGGGTGCTCGACAAAGTCATACCCAGCAACATGTATATGTATATGTATATGTACATGTATAAGCTGTATATAAATATATAAATATATATACACACACACATCACTTAAGAGTCGAGCAGAACAGGCAGTCACAAAGGCTGGAACAGCCCACGTGGTCTCGAAATCCCGCCGTTTGAAGAGGTTGTTGCAGTTTTCGAAGGTCGGAGTCGCGTTCCTGCCACCTTCCCGTGCGTTTTTTCGCGTGCGCATGGCCTTCCGCCACATTCCGTCCCGTGCGTTGCCGCCTGCCGAATCCGTTGAGGGTTGCAGGTGTTCCTTAAGCGTGCTTGCTGAGCTTCTCACGCTTAGGTTTCGGGACTCGGTTTAGATCTGTTTGGCGTCGTATCCACGGCCTCTCGTTTTTCAATAATTATGTAGGACGTAGAGTTCCAGACTTTGGGTTAGGGTCTACTATGCTGTACTGTGAGATTCGGTATTCATGTAGTTTACATTGCATAACCCTGGTCCCAGGCCCTCTGAATCCTAAGCCATCGCGGACGCCAAGATGCCAGGTCATGGAGAATTTTTTCTGCCTCTACTTTTTCTGCGTGAGGGCCTTGGGGCACCCTCAGGCATTCTGGAGGTTAGGTCTTCGAAAGACTATGTTGAAGTGGACTGAATCCTAAACTATGTTAAGCTGGACTGTGAATTCTGTGAAGTTCTGGTGCTGTCTCAGGTTTGATCTTGAGGCCTTTGAGATTCCGAACTTCGCTTCGGGCTTGGGATGGCTACCCATAGGCCCCATAGACCTTATAGGATTCTGAATATATACCCAAAACAGGAACTACTATGGGGCCTATGGGTACTTACTCTGCTCACATGAGCAGAGGCTGACTACGTCAAGACAGGTAACTCCTGGAGCCCGAACTTTGCGACCTTGCTTGAGCCTCCACCAGGGTTTTGGGGGCTCGTTGGGTGCTGGGGCTCGCTGGCCTTGGGGGCTTGAAGGCTAGCTCAAAGTTTTAGGGCTTTAGGGTTTACCAGAACCCCCAAGTGTCAATTGAAAGGCTTAATATTTCTCGTTAAGAGTTAAGTTGGGGCTACAACAAAGGGTAGTTGGGGGGTCCAGGTAGGGTTCAGGGGTTTCGGGTTGAGGGGCGGTAGGGTCTCGGGACTCTAACTCAGGGCCTCTTGGGATGTGTTTCTTATCTGCAGTCTTTCTGGCTCATGAACTTCTTCGGTTCAACATGAAAGCTGAAGGAACCCAGCGTACGGAAACCGAAACCCGACACTGTGTAGCAATGACTCGTGGGAATCAGAGGCTCTGAATTCGTACATCCTGCACTGTAGGTAGACCAAAGGAGGATCGTCGGCTCGCCCGGTTGCGGTTCAGGGCTTTTTGTGCCTAGGGGTTGAGGGTTTAGGTTTACGGTTTAGGCGTTCAGGGTTTTGGTTGTCAAGGCTTGTAGGGTTGAGGTGCTTTTGCAGAAGTGCACTTACTCTGACTCCAGCATCTCGCACTGTGAGCGCTTGGGTCAGTGTTTTGCTGCGGGATAGTTCATGAACTGAAGACACTCGTTGCACCACCGCAAAATTTCCCGCGGTGTAGCTACCTGAAGCGTTGTTTCGTGATTTCACTGATTCGCCGAAGTAACCCTAGATCTCAGACAAATTCCCGAATCCCTATCCCACCATCCGAACCCCAACACGACTTCGCCAGATTCCTAAGCGGAACGGCCCAGGAGTGGATCGTTCGTTTCGGGGCCTTCCGGCGGAAGTGCGATTGTGTGAAGGAGCGGCCCAAACCCCTCAAAGCCCGAAAACTCACAGCCCAGAACCTTAAATTCTGCATCTTATCTGTTTTAACTCTGTTTGTATGCTAGTACTCGTTGCTACTGTATGGCTCAAGTATGAAAACGGATTCGTGCGTCCTGCTGTTAACAATAGGTTATCAGCCGTAGCTTGTATAGCTCTTCGTAGTGCAATGGACACCACAGCTCCCACAAATCCTGCAGGTGTGCCTATCTCCGAACTAGGTGATGACGACACGGAGTCCGCCCGCTCGAGATCGAATCTGGGCGCAGAGCTTCCGGTTGTCACCGCCCGGGAGGGTCGGGTAGCTCTCACTGAGCAGACGCTACGTTCGCATGTTGGGTCCCTTGGACCTCAACCAGCATACGTGCCATCACGAGCGTCGCTGACACATCAGCCCTCACCCACAGTCGTAGGCTATTCTCCGGTGCCTCCATCGCACACCTCCGTTCCAACTGTCGTGAATCAGTTGTATCAGCATCAGCAAAACGTTCTGATCAGTGCGGATCCTGCACTGATTATGGACACAGCAAATGCAAGACATGCTGAAGCCGTTCGCAACATCCAAAGCGAAAACAGGGAGCAAATTCTCGCTTTGGAAACAGGTGCCATGAGTCAAGTCGCTCAGCTGAGGCTTGAGCATGCACAGTTGCAGTCAAAAGCCAGAGCCTTTGAAGAACAGGCTAATCAAAACATCCATGCTGGTCGGCAGGCCGTAGCCCAGTACCAAATTGAGGCTGAAACAGCCGCTGCTGAAGCTGAGCAGCTAAGGCAGCGCCTCCTATCCGCTGAACAGACAGCTGCGAATGTTGTCGCCCAGGTGGAAACCGAGGCTAATCGAAGGTTGCAGGCTAATCAAGCCGACGTGTCGGCTCGTGACAACGAGCTCTCTCGCCTCAAAGGTGAGATGCAAGAGATGATGAGGATTCAAGCCCTCAACATGGAGATGCTGCAAAAGGACAATGCCGAGCTAAGAACACGCTTGGCGGGAGCCAAAGCTGACCCATTGGGCAATGAACCGGAACAGGCCGGGCCTCCTGGTCTAGGACCCTTTCCGATCCATACTCCTCCTGGCGAACCACTTGAAGCGCCTGAAAAGAGCGATAAGAAGGAGAAAAAGAGCAAGAAATCCAAAAAGCACAAGAAAGATGAGTCGTCAGATTCATCGTCTTCTTCCATCGACAACAAGATTCTTCTGAAGATGCTCAAGAAGATGGTGAAATCTAAGAAGTCTGATAAAGAGGATGATGATGAAGAAAAGGGTTCCTCGAGTACCAAACCCAAGGTTAAAGAGGCTGAGAAAGTCGTGTTTCCCAAGTTTCCCCAGCCTGAGCAGTATAGAAACTGGCGCATAAGGGTCCGTGAAGCCATTGTCGCTGCATCGGATTCGCCTGACAAGGCGCATGCCTGGCTCAGTAAGGTCTGGGAGAAGGACGCCGACGAGAAAGAGCTTCGCGACCCGGAGGGGTTTAGCACCTTGGATGCCAAGATCCTTTCTGGGCTCACCAATATCCTTGAGGGTGATTTCGCTAGGCAGACTGATACCTTCAAGGAGACCGAAGCTCACGCCGGAAGGCTGGTGAGAGGAAGACAGTTGCTGTGTCGTCTTCACAACCACTTTGCTACCAATGCACTCCATGGCTCTGTGTATGACATGGAGGACCTGATGAATTGCATCATGGTCAACGAAAACCTCACCACCTTCATTAGAAACTGGGATACGGTGCTATCAGGGATTCCCAATCCTCCAGACAACAGCGTGCTTGAACCCCTGTTCCATAGACAGGTGAAGAAGTGCAAGGATATCGATCACGACATCCAGGTCTATGAACGCGCACTGGAAGGTAGCGAGCAAAGGTCCTATCAGTTCCTGTATAACGCGGTTGCTAATCATTTGAAACGCAAGCGATTGCAGAAGAACCGCGAGCGCATTGCTCGGCAAACAGGTGTACCTACTGCGCCTGCTGCCGCACCGGCCCCTAAGCGTATTCCCAAAGGGTATTGCGTTGATTGGGTCAAGACCGGAAGTTGCAAGAGAGACAATTGCCCGTACAAGCACCAACAACCTAGGGGGCGTTCTCACACTCCTGCCGGAGGTCGTACGCCTACTAGAACCCCTAGCCCGGGAGGGAAAGGTAAAGGCAAAAAGCAGGAATGCAAATTCTTTAAGCAAGGAGTTTGCAATCGTGGAGACAAGTGTAACTTCCTCCACAACGGCCAACCTGCTGCAGCCGCCCCGGGCAGCTCAGGTGCACGAGCGAGCAGCGGCGAGAAGAAGGAAAAGAAGCACAAGAAGAAAGAGAAGAAAAGTGGTAAGGGCCGCAAAGGCTCCAGATCTAGCTCCAAGAGCTCTTCAAAGAGCGGCAGCCGAAAATCAAGTAAGTCTAGCCAAGGCTCGAAGGGTTCGCGTGGCTCAGGTCGCAAGGGTGGTGCGCCCTCCGTTCCCGCTGCAGTTTGCTTATTGGGAGCAATGTTGGCTGGCTCAGCAGCCCAAGCCGATGCATTCACGTTCCGGAAGGATATGTTGAGCAATGTCGATGTTTGCACCCCGCACTATCATGTCGCACTGGCCGCAGTGTCATTCAATGACACTACTGAAAGTTTCACGTACCAAATTCCGAAAGGGAATGGCCTCTACCCCCTCGATGATCGCAATAAGCCAAGGGAGTATAGCCAAGTATATCCCGCCAACAGCCATTGGAAAGCCGATCCTGATTCCGTGAAGGAAGCTCAGGTAACCGCTAAGATGTTGCAAGCTGTTGTCAGTGATGAGGTCAAGGGCTGTAGACCGCAGTGTAAGTTCAAGTGCAACACTGAGTTTGGATGCAAACATTGCATCCCGGTTGGTTTGAAGTTCAACTGTGCCGCACCCGCCAGCAGCAAATCGCCGTGTCTGTGCATCGAATGGATTGCTGATACTGGCAGTGCGCAAGATCTCATCGCCCAGCGGGAGCTTGGGCAGGCTAAGGCCTACGAGTCACCTGCGCCCATTCAAATGATGACTGCAAATGGGCCAATCTCCGCTTCAGAACAGTGTGATGTTTCTGTTGACTCCATTGGGATTGAGGTCAAACCATATGTTCTTCCTGATACCCCATCTGTCCTTTCAATAGGACAGCGATGCATGGAAGAGGGATTCGATTTCATCTGGAGGGCTAATTCACGACCGTACCTTAAGACTCCCGAAGGGAAGAAGGTCTATATGGACGTTAAAGATAACGTGCCGTACTTGAAGTCCTGGCATGAAAACATCAGCGTCCCTGCGCGTCGGGCCTCGTCCGGTCCTGGTAAGACGCAGATCATTGAAAGCCCCTCCGCGGCCGGAAGGCCAGCGCCGGAAGAATCATCCGAGGCTATCGCAAAGAAGCTTCGAGAGTCTGGCGACTTCTCACATGCATCATGTTACTCCTTGTTAAACAAGGTAGCTTTCAAGGCCTCTAAGAAGCAGAGGTCTATCATCGCCAAGGACCCAAAGTCCTCTAAGAAGTCCGAGTATGTTGTGCTCGGAGCCTTCTCACACGGCGGGATGCAAGGCATCACTAACCGCAGTCACCAAAATAAGGAGCTAATGAAGTTCCTCAATGAGTATCTGAAACATCATGGTGCCAAGGGCCCCAGCTCTTCACTGTGCATTAATCACGGGTCCAGCGTCAAGGTGCACAAAGATGCTCACAATCATCGTGAACATAAGAATAACACTATGTGTTTGGGTGATTCGAGGGAGGCGAACTTTGGATTCATGATGAGGAAATCAGCAGGGAGAACAAAGATTATGCTTCTGTTCGCACGCCTGACGGCAGTAAGCTGAAAGGCAAAGTTCACAAGTCCAAGCATCGTATGCTTACGTTTGATCCCAAGACGTACCACTGCGTCCGTCCCTGGAAGGGTGACAGATGGAGCATCACATCATACGTGAATCGTGCTGTACACAAGCTTGATGTTACACAGCTTGCGAGACTTAAAGAGTATGGTTTCAACGTGCCATCTAAGGTCTCAGCTCCGTCTTTGATCGAACCCGGTGATGAGGAAACGTCTTTGTATGACCTTGTTGCCGGAACACCTCCAGTTGAGAAAGGGGTTGAACTACGTGCAAAGCCCAAGGTCAAGACTAAGGGTAAGCTTGAAAAAGAAAAGAAAGTTGAACCACCCAAAGAACCTGATCCTCCGCCTACTTCGAAAGGAAGTGGTCATGATGACGAAGACGATATGGATTACCTCAATCGTATCCTCGAGGAGGAAGGTTCTGATCTGGAAGACATGCCTAAGGATGATCCGGGTGCAGCTCGCGCTTCTGACGGAGCCGCTGACGCCCCAGATGGGGATTCCGAGGGCGATGGGAAGAAGAGAAAACGGGGTATAGAAGTCCTGAAAGCTGAAGCTAAGTCGCTGCATCATATGATGTCGCATCAGCCGAAGAATCCGTTCTGTGATATTTGTCAAAGGGCTAAGATGTACAAACCTCCTTCATATGCGACGGGAGGGGTGCGTACTATCGAAGCCAAAGACTTTGGTGACCACGTTACAGCAGACCACATCGTGCTCTATCGGGACAAGGACACCATCATAGAGGACTCCCGGCTGGCGCTGGTGATTAAGGACGTTGCAACAGGCTTTTGCTATGCCTACCCCTCAGCTCTCAAGTCAGCTGAAGAATGCACTGTTGCACTTCAGCACTTCACATCTCCAAAGGACGAAGTGAAGAATTTCTTCAGTGATCGCGCTCCTGAACTCAAGACTGCTGCAAAAACCATGAAGTGGCGTCATGAGAAGTCTAAGGCCTACTTGCATCAGTCAAATGCGATTGCCGAAAGGCAAGTCCGGTCTGTGACCGAAGGCACTCGAACCAACCTTCTGCAGGCTGGCGTCTCGCATGTATATTGGCCATATGCGTTGGAGCATTCGTGCACCGCATTCAATATCAGTCATGTGCATGAAATGAAGTACACACCCTGGTTCAAAAGATTCGGGGACAAGTTCCCGGGAGAGCTTATTCCGTTTGGGTGTAGAATCGATTACTGGGTTGGTCCCAAATCTACTCGCAAGAACCGAGAACGTTTCGCTCCTACCTCCGAACCTGGTGTTTTCCTTGGTTATAGGTTTCAACCTGGGATGAAGTGGCGCAAAGAAATCGTGGTGTTACCTTTGAAGGAACTCAACCGTAACGATTTTCATGAGTGCCTGAATCCCATCAGTGCCTACCAGTTCAAGGTTCCGGGGGGAGACTTCACGTTTCCTATGAAGGAGAGGTACGAGCGCATTCAGGCTGGATTCTCGTCCGAGGCCGTTGAGGGCCCTGTGTCCCAATCTCTCGAAAACCAGGATGCCGAAGCACAGAATGAGCAAGTTGGCGATGATGCCGCTCCTCCTATCGGTGATCTGGCGGTCAAGCCCCCTGAAGTCATTGATCCCAAAACGGGCAAGATTGTTCCTTTACCGGAAGGTGGAAGGTTCTATGATTCAAGTGGCGTGATTGGCCGAAGATACGGGGGGACAAGGGGATCCAAGAAACCTGATTCCATACCTAGTTCTATCTGGGTTAACTTGTCCAAGAGACAGAAAGAGAAAGCCATTGATGATGAAGCACGAAAGATTGCTCTTGCAGAGCTTGACGAAGAAGTTGGTGGCTCAGCAAGCAGTAGTGCTAAGCCTTCTGCCGCCGCATTGCCTGATAAAGACTGTTGGAAGATAGAGGGGAACAAACTCACTAGGTTCCATTTTGTTCCTAGAAGAGAGCTCTTCTCACCTGATCTCACCGATTGCCCTGTTGACCTTAAGCAAATTAGCAAGGTCCGCAATTCGGTTATCTTCCCAGTCGGTGGAGTTGATATCGTCAACGATCAGGACGATTGGCGCAACGTTCGGAGGCGTAATAAGAAGACATCATTCAAGTGGATCGGTAAAACCGAGTTTACTATCACCCCACAAGTTCCTGCCTCTGGCGAGGTCAGCGGGTCGCGCCCCGAGTTTCCCGCGATGCCAGTATCGCTCGACGGAAGTCCTGAGCACAGAGAAAAGAGTTTGCCTAACTGCCCCACGTCGCTCGAAGAGATCAATGAGCTTATGGCTATGGTTGCCAGACCGGTGGGCAGAAAGGAGATTCTTAGCAATCCCAAGGCCCAAGCTGCGTTAGATGTTGAGTGGAACAAGCTCATGCAGAAGAAGGCTTGGGACATGGCTTCTGTTCGGGAATGGGAAGAGGTTTCTAAAGAAGCTAAGAAAAAGGGTAAGAAGGCCCATGTGGGGAAGGTGTTCGAAATATGCGTGGAAAAGGGAAGTGAATTGCCTGCTAATGATCCTTTGAGGAAGTTCAAGGGAAGGACGGTTTTTCAGGGTAATAATGTGCGCGATGAAAACTCCGACTCCGCACTGTTCTCTGAATTGGGGTCCAGCCCCGCAACCATGGAAGCAGGAAAGGCCCTTGATGCCTATGGTCACGCTCCTGGAAATGAGTGTCAACAGGCCGATGGGAAACAGGCCTACACCCAAACCACTTTGAAGGGTGCTGACACTTGGGTTCGTCTTCCTAGAGATAGATGGCCTAAGGAGTGGATTGGTAAATACAAGGATCCTGTTGTCCGCCTTCACCTTGCACTGTATGGCCACCCTGATAGTGGAGGCTTCTGGGAACAGCATTGCGAGCGCATGCTGAAGCAGGTAGGGTTCCAGCTGGTGTTTTCAGCTGCATGGCCCTCAGTGTTCTTTCATCCTAAGTTAAAGCTGCTTCTCGCCGTTTATGTTGATGATTTCAAGATGGCGGGTCCTAAAGAGAACATGACCCGTGGATGGGAACTTATCGGATCTAAGATTGATATGGATACGCCTACCCCGGTCGGAAGATATCTGGGTTGTGATCACATCACCAATACTTCCACCCTCAGGAAGGCCGACCATCCTTTCGCTCACGTCTTTGACAAGACCGTTCCCGATCCGGCGGCGAAGCCTGCTAGTGTTGCAGCTAAAGAAGACTACACTGAATCGTTCCCCGAAGAAGGTGTAATGGTTCGACATCATTGTCAGCCTCGCAAAGCTCTTTATCAACCCCGCGAAGCGGAAGCTTCAGCTTATGGGCTGGGGCATCACAGGTGTACCCATCTCACTGATGTTGGGAAACCCGATGTCGTTCACGAATTGTGGGATGATAATGGTAACCGCGCAAAGCGGGGGGAGCTGTGGACAGGTACCACTTATATTTGTTCTGGTTCCCATGATCGCGCCAGTGCTATGGCCGCTGTGCAACGCGTCAGGGATAAGAATGAAGCCAAGAAGGAAGCTAAGAAACAAGCTTTCTATGATATCAACCAATTGGGTGACAATCAAGGTTGCATGTACAAGAAAGTTCGTGAGGTCATATATGACATGTCGTCCTTTCTACAACAAGCCATAGACAAGTACAAGCAACTTGCTGGTCCTGAGTACCACAATCTCAAGAAGGTCAGCACACCCTTTTATGATGATAAAATCGCTCGCCCAGTGGAAACTGAGGCCGAAGCAAAAGGCAAGCTGGCTCCTATCGCCAGTCGAGTCCTCATGAAGTTGCTCTTTGCAGCCAGAATGGCCAGATACGATCTGCTTCGAGCCGTTCAGGGGTTGGCTAGTAGGGTCACCAAGTGGTCTTCCGACTGTGATAAGGCTTTGCATAGGCTTATGTGCTACGTGAACAGCACCAAGCACTATACCATGAGGTGTTTTATAGGAGATAAGCCTTCTGAATGCAAGCTTTGGTTGTTCGCTGACAGCGACCATGCTGGTGAGCACGACAACAAATCTACGTCCGGAGGAATCCTGGTACTTGTTGGTCCCAACACCTACTACCCTCTTGCCGCTTTTAGCAAGAAACAAACGAGCACTGCCCTCAGTTCCACTGAAGCAGAGGTTGTGTGTGCTAATAACGTTGCATTGAGAGCCTTAGGCCTTCCTTCATCCGCACTTTGGAGTGTGCTCCTGAACGCGGGGGGGGATACTGCAACGAAATCGCCCACTCCTCTGACGAGAGAGTCCAAACCGTTTGTTCCTAAAACCACTCCCTTGCCCGAGTTTGGAAAGATCACTTTCACCGGCCTTCAAGAGCTTGACGATGGGCGTGTGCTGGATGTGTACAATAAGATTAAGGTGATTCCACCACCCGATAATCTCACTTCGCACCCCATTCGTAATGTTTGGCTCCTTGAGAAAGGTAAATGGTTTGTGTACCAATCAGACGTGGCTTGGGAAGAAAGGGACATGCTTGATGAGATCCTTGAAAAGGAATATGAAGCCGGCATCTGCGTATATCGTAGATCAGTCCGGGACTATCGCCGCCATGCGGAAGCAGAGGCATACCTGCATCGTGAGATCGATGGCATCAGGAACACGGGGGGTGACTATGACAATGCACCTACCAGGAATGATACCGATATAGGGTTGATCGTGTCGGTCCCTCACTCTGTTCAGCCTGTCGTTCTTGAAGATAACCAGGCCACGATTCGCATTCTTGAGTCAGGTAAGTCTCCCGCATTCCGGCATGCTGATAAGACCCAACGCCTCAATCTAGGCTGGATCTCAGAGCAGTTCAAACGAAAGCATTATGAACTTGCTTATATCAACACCTTGCTCCAAGCTGCGGATGTCCTAACAAAGCCATTCACTAGTGCTGAGAAGTGGAATAGAGCACTACAATTGATGTGTGTGGCACCGCACAAGCTGCCTGCAAGGAAATCGGCAGCGGCCACCAGCGATTCGATCGCCCGGCAGACGCCGAGGCCCGAAGCCGCATACAAAAGGATTGTGTTCGTTGTGGATTGTTCGCAGGGAACTCATTCTGCTTGTGACGTTGATATAAGGTATAGCCCCGATACAAAGGTGGTTAAGGTTAGAAATTCTAGTGAGCTTGATCCTCCTGAGACTAGGAAGGCAATCATCCAGTTAGCCAGGGATTACCACAAGGCTGGCGCCTCTGTACTTCTTTGGTTCCATCAACGGAATCCGGGGGGTACAGACAAGGATCAGGACGAGCTCAATAGCATCATGTTCTCCAAGACTTGGGCTTCGTTTGTTGACATCGCCGATGCTCTTAAGAAGTACAAAGCGAGGTTCATCATTACGTGGCCCAGGGACAGCGTGTTCTGGGGATGGCAGCTTGTCAAGAGGGTACTTGATGGCTATGGTTTTAGCAAAACTCACCTTAAGCCGATGGTTGAAGCTGCTGACTTTAAGCCTGAAGTCATTGCCCACTACACGCTAGCCTCCAACACGAAGCGTCTTGTTGAATTCTTGAGACGAGGATTGAAGGATAGTGCCAAGAAATCAGAGTCCCAACACTACTTCAAAGGCACCCTTACTGCGATCCTTGGTCGTGTTTTTGAAGATCATGAAGTCCAAAAATCAGAGAGAAATCAGACTCACGTTGTAGCTGTTGCGCTCAAGATTCAAGCATCCCCAACGTCCTCTCTTTCGCTCCTTCCCATTGCGAACATGTCCTCTGCCCAGAGCACCCGTGACGCTCTTGCACAGGGAACCGCAGCCCGGGAGGGTGTGCAGACTGCTGAGGAGTTGCAGTATGCAACGGCTGATCGTGAGGAACGCATTCAGGCGTATCGTGCCGCACTCAAAAGTGCCGATCGCCTGGCTGACGCCGTGGCCGGAATCACCCACCTTGCTCGGCATGCTGACCTTGCTGAGGTGTTTGATGAACCCGGGGCTGACGCCGACGGTGATGAAATGTTCCTTGGAATCATGACGGTGAAGGAATGGCGCGACATGCGTGTGCATGCGCCGAATGCGCCCTGGACTGCATTGTACGAAGCCTGGTTCCGTCATTATGCTTGCCGCCAGGGCAACCCGTACATGCAGGACCAACGCAACACCTCTCTGACGGGATGGTCAGCCCTCATCCTTCAGCACATTAAGGATTTGGGTATCCTCGGATGGGGTGTTAACTTCGAGAATGCCATCAATAAGACGGCAATGTATGACATTTGCCATAGGGTCCACATTCTGTCAGAGGGTAGCGGTACCTTCCCACTGTTTCCTGCGAGCTCAGCTCTCTTGGACGGGCTCTACAGCCCAGCCTTGGGCAGGATTTCCGCGCCCCCCACGGCGGAAGCCGGTGGTTTCGACGGCACCGACATTCTTGTGGCCGGGGACTCATCCTTGGCATTGTGCTGGATGCAAGGAAAACGGTGTGTGAAGAAAACCACTATCTTCCCGATGATGCAGGACATAGTCCGCGCGAACCCAGAGTTCGGGGAAGTCACATGCCTGATGGAGTGGGGCAAAGGTCTCGACAGGATCGTTGATGTGATCGAGACTCACCTTGCCTCCGCTCCCCCGGAAGGGGTAGAGCTTGTGGTTTCCTGGGCCGGCAACGATGTGTATGGTAACTACGGTTACCTTGGCTACACTTGGCACTTGACGAGCCAGTGGATCAAGAGGCCGCAGAGTGAGCTGGACGAGATTGAACATTGGCCCGCAAAGCAGCGGCTGATGGTCGAGAAGAGCGTCCGCCGTCTCATCGAGCTGCGGAAGCACACTCGTGTCAGAGGCCTGACGGTTCTCTTGGGAGATGACAACGGTCGTTTTTACAACCTGCCCAGCGAGTATGATGAAGAAATGGGTAAGTACGCCCGGCAGTTGCTGAGTGCAGGCATCAGCGTCGTTGATCCATCAAGTCTCCTGATGAGGACTACGCGTCCTGATGGGTTCCACATCGAGGTCACTGACCCGAATGTGACTGCATCCTTGCAGTGGTGGCATGCTCTCATCAGAGCCGTGTCCACCGACCGAATCATCACTCGCCGGAAGGCTGAGTTCGTCGCCAATCAGAGAAGTATTGTGTTCCGCAATCACTTCGAGCTTGGGAAGGCTGAAAAGACGCTCACGGTGCCGCCTGCTAGCCAGCGCATCCTTGAGCCATTGGACCACGCACCCATGCTTCCGGCGGAAGCCAGGGAAGAGGATGAGCAGATCGTTCTCGACCACCCTCTTCTGATGATGATGCCTGAGCCGGTCGATGATGTCGATCTCAAGCCGGAAGGCTCTGAAGAGGTGACCCAGGTTGAACACGTTCTATTCAGCCGTGATGTTGGGTCAGAGCTGCCCCTCGACCTTGTCGCCATCGATCCTGAGGCGCAAGAGGACTTTGCCTTTACGGTGGCACGTGATGTCATCAACACCACGAATGTGCTTATCCCTGACGGAGACGCCATCGAGAAGGAGGCCGCTGACGGCATCCCCACGGTGTGGGACGAACCCCCGGTTCCGGCATTGGAAGATGACCGCAGACTCCCGAAAGGCACAGTCAGGTATTCGCAGTCTCTTCGCAAAGTCGGGTCGACGCCCAAGTCGAAACCCGATCCTGCCAAGCACAGGAGAATCTCGGAGACAGTCGATACCGACGACGAAGAGGATGTCGTTATGGACCTGGATCCTGATGACACCGCTCAGCCGTCGGAAGACGCAGCTCAGCCGTCGGAAGACGTTGCTGATGACTTCGAGCCATTCTTTGAGTGGTGGGGCTATGAAGACATCCCCGATTTTGCCCCAAGCCATCGCTACATGACAGATGGCAAGCGGCGAGCATTGAGCTTAATGCCATGAGCTTTTTCCTTCCCGGAGGAGATACGGGGACCAAAAAAAAAGGTGACCCGCATCATTTTAGGGAAAAGGACATTTTGTTGACGAGTGCCACTTGGAAGCTATTTGAAGAACCGTAGGTTTTATTGCAGAAAACTCTTATTCTGATATCTTTGCAAGGCAAATCTCGAAACAGATGTCGTTTTCAGGTTGTTCAGACTCAAAGATCCGCCAGACAGATCTCGTAATAGGTGAAACTTCAGTTTTGATAGATACAAAGCACATGCTTGAGCCAGTTTGAGCCAATTTTTGAGCCGTTTGAGCCACAAGCTTAGGGTTGAGGGCTTCTAGCGTTAGGGTGCAAGGCTTAGGGTGAGGCTTTAGCTCAGGTTCCACAGACCTTGGGCTTTGGGATTAAAGGTTTCGGGTTCTGGTTTCGGCAGGCCCGGTGCGATTCTCGATGTCCCTCCCGCCCCTCCCTCACGATTTTCAGCTGTCGCCGAACTTCTTGAGCCAGTGTGGCACTGCAGCTGCCAGATATCGCTTAACCGCTGTACTATGCACAGCCGCAGCATGGCATCCACTGGCCTCAGATCGGTCCCCGCTTCTTTGAAAAATGTACAGTAGTACGATGCTCGTGATGCTCCGTACTGTATATTTGTCTCTCCACGTACTTCAGCCAAGAATCTATGGAGCAAAGCCGGCGAACGAAGTCTTCATCACCGAAACAAGACATAAGTCGAGGGTTTATGGGCAGCTTGTGCAAGTCGGCGAACATATGAAACCAGGTGTGCAGCCTGATTTGCAGGGACGTTTCATTTCCAAGCCATAAACATATTATGTTGCAATGTGTTTAATGCAGTGCAAGAATCTTTGGTCTCAGCTTGTACCGGCGTTTGCCGGCACAAAAAGCATCATATGCCAGGTACACGTAGCCCACCAAAAAACGGCGAACCAGCTTCTTCGCTTTTGCAACAGCAGACGGTGGGAACACGTAGAGATAAGCATCCATGAGTTTGATCAGCCGAGCCAATGACCGGACGGTCCTTGGATCCAAGCTTAAAGGCATGGCACTTGCCTTTATCTGAATTCCGAAACTGTGAAGTCATGTCTCAGATTCAGCACTGCAGCTTTCTCCTTATCTGCCCAGGTTTTCGTAGCCACCGGAACCAATACTGCCTGGGCTTCTGTAGCTATGCAGAAATTCAGGCCTGTATGTATTATTAAGGCTTAGGGCTCTGGTTTTAGAGTATACAGGGTACAGGCCGGGGTAAGGGTGGTTACCGGTAGACTATTCGACAAAAAAAAGCGCTTAAAAACAGTTGCTGTCAGCTCCAGGAACAAGCCATAAACATATGACTTTGATGTCTGCACCCTTAGCATTAAGGAAAGCGTACTTCTCATCTGCATTTAGATTGAAGTCGTCGCAAGCAAGTTCGAGGCCTTGGGCTTTCGCCCATGTAGAGGCAAGAGTGTGAGCTTTTGTCAAGCCTCCGTTTCCCAGAAAAAGGTCCAGCATGACTGAAGCGGTAAAGTCTGGCCCAAAACCCCTGTAGCACACATGTAATGTGTCGAAGTGGATCAGCTTGCTGTCGAAGCCATCGAAGTCGCAGAGTGCAGGGATTCCGTGCCCCCTTTGGGCAGTCCAGAGCTCTTGCAAGAAGTCCTCAGTTGAACTTGTTACGATCAAAAAATGTTTGCCTCTGGCAGACAAGCCTCTGTATTTTTTTCGCGACCACAAAGCTCCCAAGGAGAATCTCCGAAGAAGTTCAGGTAGTGCCCGGACCCCATAGATAAGAATGTTGCACCATCCATCAAATCTATCGTGGAGGAAAGCCTGGGATGAGTTAAGGTCGCACGGCTTCGCAATATTTGGATCCAGATGCTTTCCTAGATGCTGGCACTGCATGCACATCCTGCACACAGATCTAGCTCGTCACTTCCAAGTATTTAGGAGTGAGGGTTCGGTTCGGGCTTTAGGCTACACAAGGATTATGTGTAGACCTGCCTACTTAAAATATCATCCCCCCACTTCCTAGTTGGGTACCTGAAGCCTAACAAATAACCTCGAAAAAGCACATTTACCCCACAGACCCTCAAAGCCGAACGAGAGCATGTCCGGGCCTGTTTCCATTGGCCTCGCCGTTCCCCTTCCAGTGTCGAGGACTGAGCCAGGGATGAACTAGCATTGAGAAAAACGATGTACCCGTCTGAGGCACAGGCAAATGCAGGATCTGTTGGAACCACTTCTGGTCCCCAGCCAATCCCATATAGCATAGCTTTCTGGAAGATATGCCATCAAGTTTGAATCTCCTGGAGACTCGACATCAATAAGTGGTCTTATGGGCCAGAAAACTTAGCACAGAATAACCCGGTCTAGGCACACTTTCTTCAAATCATCTTTGAGGAAGCTCATAAGAACATCCAAGGTCGCGGGGAATTGCGTGCCGATCTTCTTGTTCTTTTGCATCGCCCGAGTGAGAACAGTTTGACCAGTAAGGCATGCGAGGCACAGGCGAGTCTTCAAAGTGTCCTAGGTGAGCACGAGCGAATTGCATGACCAAACAAGCGGACACAACAGCTTCATTGCCAACAAGGCTCACCCGAATGAGTATAAGGAAATGACATATTGATAACAAGCACGTTCTTGGACTTTTGGCCAGGACCCTCATCGCCGTGCAGACGAAAAGGGAGATCATCAGGCCCTGTCGTGATAAGAACCCTTTTATTTAGAGTTAAGGGCTTAGGGTAATTTCGAGGTTAGGGTACAAGACCTCCAGTGTAGCCGACGTCGCCGTTCTGCAAAGTGCTGCTCAACCTGAGCTGCTCGTATCTGTCAGAAGCGAAGTAGCTCCTGCAAACTAGCCTAGTGCACCTGATCCTGACTTACAAACCAAGCAGCAGCTCGCGATCTTGCGGCGTAGAAGAACCAAAGCAGATGGCTTGCAATAACCAAGGCCGCTTCTCCAACCACGACATGTAGGAGCTCGGAAGAACGATACCTTAAGTTGGTTAAGGAAGGTTGTGCGGAAAACTACAAGAGCATGAACGTTCGACGATGGAAGTTTGAACAAGTCTCTGCATGGTTTCTCAACCACAAGTTTCTTCTTCTTCTTCGACACCAGCAGCGGCAACTTGATTTTCGATACCTTTGGTAATGATCGTGCGAAAAACTCGTGGAATCGCTTCTCTGTTCTCCTCCCAGCCAGCTTCTTGGTGATCCAGTGCATGTTGTTGCCGCTTTCGGTTTCAGCGGCTGAACACAAGTCGCTTATCCAGTTCACATCAGCATTCTTTTTTTGTAGAGCAGCGACAGCAGTATTCGATAGAGATGCATTCGCCAGACTCTGCAGCCTGTACGGCAGTGCTTCTTGCTGGGGCACATAAAGCTTGTCCAGGGTTACAGGAGAGCTCGATGCAGCAGCATTTTTCGCATCCAATCGTCGTTGTAAGTCTCGCCGCCTCGGAGCTGGACGTTTCCTGCGATAGGGCGGTGCATTTTAACCTAGCTAGCGGGTTCAGGGTTCAGGATTTAAGGTGTTCCCTATATATATATGGGGTGAAAGTTCATTAGTTTTACGGCTTATGTAATGTGAAGCTTACGGCAGGTCGGAAGGAGTCCTCTTCGGCTCGGGTGCCGGGACGTCGAGGCCTGCGTGGGGAGCTGTGCTTCTAAGCTTGTAAAAGCCAGAGGAAGACACGGAGAGAAGAGAGTGGAGAGGGGAGAGAGGAGATCGAGAGAGAGAGAGAGAGAGAGAGAGAAAGAGACAGAGAGAGAGGGAGACCGAGGCAGTGAGAGAGCACCAACGAGTGCAAGGATTCAACAGAACCAAATGAGCTCATGTGCAAGCAAAAACCTGAGATGATCTTTCGTCTCCGTCCGACGGAGGAGTCGCAGCGTGCTGCAAACCGGTGGGCAGCAGGCTGAGTCACAAATCTTGCGATCATGATTGTGTTCTAGCTCCTAGCAGCCCGTGCCTCTTCCCAGTTCACAGCTCACTTGTTCAAAAACCAGCACGTGAGCTAGCTTGGATAAAGCTGGTGGGCAACAAGCACACATAGACACATATATAGGTGCGAGAATGCAGACTATATAGAAGCGGTATGTAGAGCAAGTGCCTCGTAAGCCCAGCTTATCCTTCTAGCATGATCAAAAACCATCAAGTAGCTGCTAGCTGCTAGTTTGCTGCGGATAGACCAGAGCATTTACAGGTTGGCTCTTAATCATGCCCGGATATTGTGTTAACTGCTGCAGCCAGCATCAAAGACCGAGTGCATATGGTGCACGAAGCTCCCGGGAAGCACGACTGTTGGACACAGCATCCGAAGGTTCATCGGTTTGTCAGTGGTACATGTGTGTAGCTCACAGTACATCAAGTGCCCATCCCAGAATCAATCACAAAAGCCAGCCATATTGCTAGCTGATAAAGATCCAGCTGCATGTCGGGCCGAGCGAAACCCTGCACTTCATATGGAAGCTAGCATGTACCGTGACTAGGGATTGCAACGTCTCGGTCCGTGGCACAGCACATGCAGCAGTGGGGCCAACTTCACTCATGCCTTCTTGTTTGTATGCACCTTGGCCACACCCAAAGCAAACTCCTGCAGTTGCGGATGCGATTGCAGGTAGAACACATTCACACTGCCACGAGTCGTATTTCTTCAAGCTCCTAACATATGGTTGCTATGTGTCTCTCACTCCCTCGCCATCTCTCTATCTATTTATATCTCTATCTGTCTCTCTCTCTCTCTCTCTCTCTCTTAGATTTGTGCGTGTTTTGGGTTCTCTTGTTTTTTCTCTCTCTCTCTCTCTCTCTCTCTCTCTCTCTATCTCTCTCGCTCTCTTTCACTCTCACTCTGTCACCTTCTCTTTGTATGTACGACACTGGGACAGACTTTGCCATTGAATGATGTGACAGCAGACAGGGTCCTCTTTGCTGGCACACACCAAGAAAGCCCTTGCCACCTCCTGCCAGGGTTTAAGGTTTAGGCTTTTGGAAGGGGAGAGGGATGGATAGAAAACATGTATATGCGTACACAGCGAAATGGCCTTTAGATGCTCCTGCCATTCGGCCTCGTCAACGGTTTCGTCGAGATTCTTTAAGGCCTGCTACACCATCTGATAACACATACTTGTATGTATGGATGAGTGCATATGCAGAACATACAGACATAGCCCAAAGGCCTTGTACTTCTCCTCGAGCCCAGTTTTGGCCTTTAACAACGAATCCATAACAGCACTGGCATCCTCGAGGTCTTGAAGCTGAAGTTGCAGACGTGCAACCAGGCCGACCTGCCGGGGTCGATTCCACAATTGGGGTTCTGAGTACGTGCTGCACTGTTTAAAGTCCCACCTTGGAAAGCACCTCCTTCTCCATATTTTTTTTCGTTTCGGCTCGGTTGAACCGCGGGAGGGCTTCTTTCAAATCGCTGCTTCTGCATTTTGTCAACTCGAATATTCCGGTTTTCATGGCCGCCGGAGCTTTCGATTTCGCCTTCCCTTTGGCCTTGGCTGTCGCCTTCGCAGAAGCTTTCGCTTCTCCTGCAAAGCCACCCGACCCGATAACAATCAAGGCATCGTAAAGTCGTATTAGCCTGCAGCAGCACTCTCCGTAATGGCAGCCGGCGTAGGCGTAGCTGTCGTAGACTCATGGCACCTGAGATAGGTATGCAAACAGCTATTCTGGAAGGGTCGAGGATGGTTTTATGAATAGGGATATCAGACGGACAGGTTAGGGTTTGGAGGTTTTAATGTAGGGTTTTGTTGCTAGGGTTTGGGCTTTCGTTTAAGGGTTTTTCGAAGAAAGAGAACCAGAACGAAGCGAAGCCAACGAATTGCCACTAAGTCGCAGTTCTGAGAACAGCTTTTTGGCTTCCGGTCTGTTGTCGGAGGCAAGTGGTTTGATGCTTGCCTCGATCTCGCGACGTTTTTCGAAGAGCTCAGTCTCGGAAAACTCTGTGAAGATATTGTACAGCAGGTTCCCCGAACCAGCAGGGAAGTTCGGATCGTCCCGGCAGCCTTAAGTAGACCAACATGCACAACTTTTTGGTTGTGGCTCGATTGGACTGAGATCCTTACGGCCTTGCTGGACAGCAAAGTCAATGGCATCCTTCGCTTTCTGTTCGTTGGGGGCGTAGTGCGTGAACACCTGTTCTCTCGTCAAAGACTGCTTTGTCTTTTTTTCTTGCCTGAGCTGAGCACATGAAACGAACGAGGGAGCCCAATGAGCCCAAAAATTCTAAACATTGACTAAGCTGCTCAACCATCATATCCTTCAAAATGATCCCCACCGTGACCTTGTTCACGTCCTGTCCACTCGCCATGTACTCCTTGATCATATCCTTCCTCACATCACCACCCGTCCTCCATGCTTGAAGGATCTCCAGCGTGCATCGGTGAGGGTTTTTCGTAAGCCGGCGGACCGTCTGGATCGCTGCGGCCGCTTCTTTTCGTGCCACTGTGTTCGCCTCGGATCACTAGATGTATGTTGTTTGGTGGCTGCTCAAAGTTTCGGTTTGATTATTCTCATATATATATATACACACATACATGTATACCCCTAGTAATAGTTTATTAATGTATGATGTTATATAACTGTCTATATATATATACAAATATTTATACTCCTCAGAGAAAAACTTAAGGTTTCAGGATTTAGGTTTAGGTACTATAATAGATTGGTCTAGGCACTTCATCAGCAGCAGTCGGTTCACTCGTCGAAGTCTCGGGAGGAGCAGCTGCTGGGATCGTTGTCGGAGGGGTCGCAGTGCCCTGAGGTGGGGGTGGGCCCTGAGGCGGGGGTGGGATCGGCGAAGCAGGTGTTGCGGCCGGGGTCGGCGAAGGAGCGGGGTTCGCATTTGTTGCGGCCGGGGCCGGCGAAGCACTGGGGTTCGGAGTTGCTGCGGGCGGGGAGTTTGTCGAAGCACTGCTGCCCAAGGCCAAGAGCTTTTGTCGCATGGCCTCATTCTTCCTTTGGATTTCATCCAACTTCGCCTTCTTCGTAGCATTTGCAACCTCCCTTTTGAGCCTTTCCTCCTCCTCGTGTTCCTGTTTGAGTTGTTTCGAAAGTGGCGATAGATCCAAGCTCCGGCTCGGTGCTGCTCGTGTGGGGCTGTGTGCACGTTTGAAGTTGCTCGTGCCGATTGTCGGTGGCGTCTCCCCCGTCAGCTCCTGGAGCCGTTGCCTCATTCTTCGGATTTCATCCTCAACAGCTGCTTGCCGTTTCTTTTCGGTGTCTGCTGCTTCTGCTGCTGCTGCCTCTTGTGCTTTCTTAGCTGCTTCTGCTGCAAGTGCTTCCTCTCGGCGTTTCTTCTGGGCATCAGCTGCTTCTATCTCTGCGGCTAGTGCTGCTTCGAGCCTTTTCCTCTCGGCTTCTGCTGCTGCTGCTTCCTGTCTTTTCTTTTCGGCTTCTGCTGCTGCTGCTTCCTGCCTTTTCTTTTCGGCTTCGTCTGCTGCTGCCTGTCTTTTCCTCTCGGCTTCTGCTTCTGTTGCTTCTTGTCTTTTCTTCTCGGCTTCTGCTGCTGCTGCTTCTTGTCTTTTCTTCTCGGCTTCTGCTGCTGCTGCTGCTGCTGCTGCTGCTTCTTGTCTTTTCTCCTCGGCTTCCTGTGCTGCTGCTGCTGCTTTTCTTTTCTTCTCGGCTTCTTCTTCTGCTGCTGCTGTGCCATGCGTAGTGGCCTCTAGCTTCTGCTTAGCAATGCGGGCCACAGCTTCTTCGTATAGTTGTTTCAGCGTAGCCTGTTCTTGTTCAAGTGCCTGCATCTTGCTATTGCTTTCAGGCTCAGAAGCCTGGGCGGAAGCTGCGGCGTCCTGACGGACAATGCTCGGGCCACTGCTTAGCTTCGGTACTGAGGGGCGGGTCAGGGTACAGGATTGAATCGCAGGGTGCAATTATTAATAAGAGTTGAAGCTACAAGCTTCAGGATTGTTGACTACACTCCTTTATGGCTCGGGGCTTTAGGACTTTGGTGTTCGTGGTTTCCGGTCTTTGGGGTATTTGGAGAGGGGCATAGGGTTTAGAATCTAAGCTGTTTGTGTGGCTATCAGAAAGCTAAAGCATGTGTCACAGTATATCTGCAATCGGCCTCTAGTATAATTAAGGAACCGCAGCACACCCTTTTCGTTTGGTTGTGGTAAGTAAGGTTCAGGATTTGGGGCACGTAGTTGTGCCGGGCACATGTGTCCCAGCCTCTTCGCTCATAAGCCTTTCCAACTCCTTTTCCAAGTCGTCATCGTCGAAGTCGTTGGCAGCGGGTGCCGGTATTCCATCCCAGGGCTGTGTGGCTTGCGAGTCCTCTGCAGTAGCCTTGGCTATAAATCTAGAAGCACACATAAAGCCTTACGAGCTCCCGAAGCCAGGCATGAGATGACTTCATAGCCAAGTCTCGACACCTGAATCCAAGCCCCGATCAGCCTGTCACGTACCAGCAGATATTATGTGATCTCGTATATGTATATGTATATGTGTAAACATTATATGGCAGCTCAGAAACACAGGCCTCCATTAGCTCCACCTTTGCAGCTCGAAGCTCAGCCTGCGGCGAGGTTGTTAATTTAAGGGCTTGAGATTCAATATATTTTGGGGGTTGTAATATTAAAGGCTCCACAAACTATAACCTTTGTGTGAGTGGCCTGTGCTTGGCGGGCCGTGTCGCCGTCGGGTGGCCGCCTTAACTCGAAATCATCGACCACACCTCTAGGTGGCTTGTGTTTCCATAAGGTACGAGCCGTCCTGATTCTGCCATCGGATCCGTGGAATTGGGGCCCAGATCCGAGTACTATAGCGTGTACGGTTACGTACGGCTTTTGTACGGGTACGGTTCTTTCTTCGTTGACTATGGCGTACGGATACGTACGGTTGTGTACGGTTGCCTCTGTTCGTGGAAAGTAGTGTAAGCCATCAAACCTCAGCATGCGAAAAGACCCTGCTTGAGCAACTGGATCTGCCAAGCAGCGATATTCTGCACCCAGCCGTACAGGAAGCCTCCAAATTATGCATAATAGATGCAGACCACTAGTGCACTACCAGGCGAAATCCGTACCCGTCTAAAGCCGTAAATGAACACACAACCGGTACCCGTACAAAGGCGTACAACACCGTACTTCCTATAGCTCACAACACCTAATACGTGCAACCGTACATCCTGCACTAGGACACAAAAAACCGTACCCGTACAAAAGCGTACAAAACCGTACATCCTGCACTAGGACACAACAACCGTACCCGTACACAAGCGTACAAAACCGTACATCCTGCTTTAGGACACAAAACCCGTACCCGTACACAGGCGTACAAAACCGTACATCCTGCACTAGGACACAAGAACCGTACCCGTACAAAAGCATACAAAAGCGTACATCCTGCACTAGCACACAAAACCCGTACCCGTACACAAGCGTACAAAACCGTACATCCTGCTTTAGGACACAAAACCCGTACCCGTACACAAGCGTGCAAAGCCGCGAAAGAGATGTGCATCGGATGTGTTTAAACCAGGCCAAACAAATCACCGAGCTGAAGCCAAGATCCTTAAGACGGACAGAAAAACAGACATTGTGGTTTTGAAGCCTCTCCATCGAACTAGCCAGATGCCTGAACTAGAACCGAAACGAGCAATTTTGGTTCGAACTTGCAAGTCTAGTCGGAGTTCAGCAAGACCAGGTCTTCGGAAAGTTGCTGTCGGTCATCGACAGGCGAGGCAGCTACTGCAAATCTGGCAGAGGTCCTGCGAAAATTAGGTCGGTATCATTCAGAAGTGAATGGTCATATTAATCTTGCCCAGGACCCAGCAACGACGGTATAAAGTGCCCAGCACTAGCAGGCGAAACCCGTACCGTACCTGCTGAAGCCGTGAGTTAACACACAACCCGGTACTATCTACAAAAGCGTACACAACCGTACATCCTGCTCTAGGACACAAAGGCCGTACCCGTACACAAGCGTACAAAACCGTACATCCTGCTTTAGGATACAAAACCCGTACCCGTACACAGGCGTACAAAACCGTACATCCTGCACTAGGACACAAGAACCGTACCCGTACACAAGCGTACAAAACCGTACATCCTGCTTTAGGACACAAAACCCGTACCCGTACACAGGCGTACACAACCGTACATCCTGCTTTAGGACACAAAAACCATACCCGTACAAAAGCGTACAAAACCGTACATCCTGCTCTAGGACACAAAGGCCGTACCCGTACACAAGCGTACAAAACCGTACATCCTGCACTAGGACTCAAAACCCACATTCGTTTGTGTATACATGGCTTCCCTGTCTTCTTGACTGACACATGTATTAGGATGTGTGCGTATATACACGGTTTGAGGTTTTGTGTCCGTAGGATGTACACTGGAAGCACACAGCTTGCATGCATGATTGCAGAGCTGGGCCTGGGATCTGGGACGGTCATTTAAAATTGGAGAAGTTGGCTGAGTTGTGTCAAACTGCTTCAAGGCTTCGTGGTATGTGAAAGTATACGTACTAAGTCCAGAGTTAGGCTTTATTCTTAAGGCGTACGAGTATACACAAACAAGGTGTCTAGCAGTCGTAGCAAGGAAGATCAGAAGCTGGGCCTTTATCCTCAAATCTCTACTATATATGAAACCTGACCGAAACGTTGCCCGGGTGTCAGGGTTTCGAGACTAAGCCCCAGTTACCCGGAAAAGAAGACACTTCTTAATTTCATAATATATCTTTCTAGAGAGTCCTAGCCAGGCTACCGAACCAAATGCATGAAAGACTTATTAACCCAGCTCTGCACGAAACATTGGCAGGTCGCATCCGACTGAAGCGGTCAGCAGCCCAAAGCTTGGAGTACGAGTGGCTTTAGGGCTAGGGTACAGCTGCTCAGCTGAGCAAGCTATCCTTTCAATCCAGGATATCTACAATCAATAGTTTATGACTAGCATCTATGCCCACAAATAATATGTAGCAAGACTACTGGAGTGGAAGATGCCCGGGGTATATTCCCACCTATAGGTTAGGATTAAAATTATTCGGCGGTCTGTAGGAGTTGGGCTTTGGATCTCACAGCAAGGCTCTTCTGTCAGATTGGAAACCACGATCCAACATAGAGTCCTGCGGGCAGGCAGGTAATGATTTCCGAACACCGACGTGCGTCGGCCTGGCTGGCACTCGAGCTCGCTTTGCAACGAATCATGCCAATCGGTCCTTGCCCTTGCCCCCCGTGCTTTGCCACCCCTGGCATGTGTCGTAGGGATATAGAGGCCATGTCAAGACCAGAAGGAAGCGGCCGGGGGTTTGTTTTGAAGCGTTTCGTAATTCTAGATTTTGTTTGCGGGACGAAGCGATAATCCTCTGCATGACCACTATAAGTCTAGTTTGCTACCAAGTAGCTTAAGGATGGGGAATCCAGAAACCGGGCCTGGACTCGAAACCACAAAGCCTCGAACCTCAAGATCAAGGTTTAGCGTGCAAGCTGGAACCAAACTCCCGACATTATGGTAGTACTCAAACACGACACCCCAAACCCCTTAAGCCCCTAAACACCGAAACCCCTAAACCTTTCAAGCCCCCAATTAAACTGCCAACAGATGCCAAACCCCGAACCCAAAAGCCGAAAAGAGTTTGGGCCCTGTGTTTTGGATCCCAACCCGGCGTATGAACCCGGTCGAAGGTGACCTCTCCCTCGGCTTCGATAAAGCACTGCAGGCTGCCTCCTCGATCCAGGGTTTAACTGTTGAACCAGGAAAGGGGGTCTCGATAAACCGGAGGTTCGGGGCGGCGGACAGCAATTACGTGCAATGGGCGGGGGTGTGATCTAAAGGGCCCGGGGCTTCCTAGGCTCTTCGAGTGAGAAGAAGTTCATGGATGAAGGTTCAGGATATTTGGGGCTGAGGTTATTTTTTAAGGTTCAGGGCAGCGTGGAGAGGGGCACGGGTTTCGGATGTTTAGCACTTAGCACAGGTTCAAGCACCAACAAATTTGATGAGCTCGCAGGCTCATATGACCTACTTCAGAAAGGCTTTGACTAATAATTAGCCCGATATTCAAGAGTAGGCTAGCTGCTACGAGTAAAGCTCAATGAGGCTAGCGACTAGTCTTACCTCGGACAGTCAGGATTTCAGGCTGTGGGTTAAGGGCTAAGATTTAGGTTTCCATACCAAAAAGAAATATGTGAACATTCGCCGTGTAGCAGGATCCTCATAATAGTTTGAACAATGCAAGTACTAGCGGCAACAGTTACAAGAAGGAGGAAGTCTAGGCAACTCGTCCATAGCATAAAAAAAGGTACTTGGATCCGACAGACACGTCGTGAAAAAAACCCTGGTCCTGGGTCCTGATCTAGATCGAAATGGCAGCCCCACCACGTCCTGGGCCGGGCGACGGAAGGAGTACGGGACCCTAAGAGTCTCAACCACTAATCTGTTGGGAGAAAGACAATCCCCGAGTTATACCAATATATTAAGTCGTGGTTAGATTTTTGCGAAGTGAACTTTTGGGCAGGATAAACCCCACGAGTGCAGCTCGGTCGTGCGAAGCCCCAGGATACCAACAATCCACGAACAAGGCATTCCCGTAGTTCTGTGGCTCTACTTTCCATACGTGACCTGATATATTTGCATCAGAGCCCCAGCACCAATATATGGATATTCGGGGTGATGGGGGTTGCGACTGTACAGAACCCAAGCTCAACTGCTGCAAACTTGATTGGAGTACATCCTGCACTAGGACACAAAGACCATACCCGTACAAAAGCGTACAATTTCGTACATCCTGCACTAGCACACAAAATCCGTACCCGTACACAGGCGTACAAAACCGTACATCCTGCACTAGGACACAAAAGCCCCACCCATAAATTATGGCGTTAACTAATACAGCAGTAAATCCGCCAAGACACAACACCTGTATCTCTACAAAAGCTTCTTGTCCAGTAGCCCCAGGAGACATCATACGAAAGCGTACATAACCGTGCATGCTGTGATTAGATGCTTGGACAGAAAAACCGGCCCTGGTATAGAAGCCTAGGGAACGTTTCCTCTTCCACTGCTAGCTGGGATATAAAACACGTGCCAACACAAATTAAAGCGTTCACTGAATGTAGAAGAAAGACACAAAGCGAAGCCAGGAAACCTTTGTCGATGAGCATCAGCTCGAAGCCAGAGCCATTGCGGGGCACCTTGGTTTACGGTTTGGGGTTTAAGGTTTGGGTTCATTTGAGGACGGGACTAGCTGACTAGCTATTGTATGTCAGACCGGGCACAGGATGAGGAAGAGCAGCTCGCCATTGTTCGGAGGCATGCACCAGAGTCTAGGATGTCCCAATTGCACTCCAGACGGAGTCTTGGATCTAGTTTTTGATATCCCTTTATCGTCAACCTATGCTCTATAAGGTCAAACCATCAGCTCCTATGCCTATCTCGGCGTGAAGGCCTGCGAAAGACAGGGGTTTGCATGCAAGGTTTCGACTGCACATGAGCATCTGAGTCAGCTCTAGCAGGATCAACAGCAGTGCAGTGGCATGCGGGGCACACCTCTGTCATCGCTCTCGCAGGATCGCTTGCGAGCTGAGGATGCTGAAGCTGTACCTGCCACCGGCTGCACAGCTTATGTACCGTACCGTTACATAGTGTCCATACAGCCAATCGCATATTATGAGTGGCACTGTGCGTGCAGCTGTTTGCTCGCAGTAGCATGTATCCGTCTGTCCCAGCTATAGCTCGATCAGAGGGCGACCCAGCTGGAGCGGACTTTGAACCATATAGCAGCTAGTGCAGCCTAGGTAATATCTTTACACTACATATTAATACTGGGAGCCAACGGATCGTCTGCATCGATCGTCTGCACCGGAAGGCACGTGTAAAAAAAGGCGAGCCACGACTCACATGTCCGGGACCTGCAGGGAAGTAGAACTTAGGGTTAAGTTTAAGCGAAAGGTTTTGATTGTTTTCGGTTGCGAAAGGGGGTTTTAAAAACATATGACACCTACTTCCGGGCTGTGATGATTACCTAAGTTATATCAGAATATTGAACCCTACCCTTAATATATCAGACCACCCCAGTCTCATACTTCAGACCCACCCACATATCGACACATACCCTCCGAGATGCCTTGACCTTAAAGCCTTGCCCCTAAATCCTGTCTCGACTGGTACGGGTACGAACTCGGCCCGGCCTCGTGCAGCAGAAATGCCACTGCCATATCGTGACAGAAGATTTCAATTTCTGTCTGATCAGTCATCGTGCTGAGGCCCTGCTCGGACACATATGCCAGGAACTTTCGCTCGGCTTTGTCTTTCGCCATCGCGACTTTTCCGGACAAATGCCTTAGACGGTTAGGTCAGCACGGAAGGCTTTCAGTAGCTCACGAGGGCCGTGCAATGAATGTGTTAGATTAAAATCAAGCAGGACACTCCTGGAAAGCTTCAGCAGCAAACTTGAATCTCCAGAGAAACGGCGTGGTTGTCGGCGGCGGGCGACCGGCGAAAGTCTTGTTGGGCTCCTCCGGAGCCTTTTTTCCTTTTTTCTTCTTCTTATCCTCCTCATCAGCCGGAATCGTGTCCCCGCTGGCCCTTTTCTTGGCATTGCCCTTGGAAGTATCCAATCCTTGCTCCTCCTTTTCCTAGGTTGGGACAAACACTAAAGAATGCACACCCAGCAGATGTTGCAATCTATTGAGAAGAGGGTCGGCGGCAACGGCATCTGGATGCACAAAATTTCTCTGCTCCACTAAAGCTTCCATCGTAGCCAGATCGGTTTCACTGGAACTATCATCCAACGTGATGGCATCCTTGGCTTATGGAAAATTGAAACCATATGATGCTACTCGATATTTCTGAGTATTAGGCATGCTTAGCCCCAGACGGACCCAAAGATCTTCAAATGAGCCTCTGCGTACTTCTGCTGGGCAGCCTGAGTTGGATTCATACCACCAGAGAGCAGGAAGCCTTTTCCTGAACCCAACTATCGCCAAGAACCTCCCGAGCTGTAGTACATGAAGACGAGCTCGGCACCGACTGCCTCAATGGATATATTATCCCAGAAAACTTCCACAAATTTGCAACAAGACCGCTAAATAATTGCAACCAATATTCGGCCGATTTATCGGATCTCCAGGCGGATCGCGATCTCCGGACTCACGATCTCCATCGCCCGCATTGGGCTCACGATGTCCATCGCCCGCATTGGGCCCACGATCTCCATCGCCCGCCTTGGGCTCACGATCTCCATCGCCCGCCTCGGGCTCACGATCTGCAGGATCGCTAGACTGCGGCTCCTTGGACTTCCACTTCGGTCGAGGTTTCAAAGCCGAACGTCGGGGCTGTCGTGGCGGACTGGCATCAATCATCTCTGGAGAACTCAAGCATCCCATCAGGTCCTCAACCTCCTCAGCCGTAAAACGGCTCAAGTCACCAAACTGCTCCTCCAGCTTTTTGTTCCTTAAATGGTTCCGAATCAGTTTCCGTGTGCGTGCTGCGAGTTTTCAGCTGGAGACCTTTTGCGAATCCAAGCGACCTCGTTGCAGGTGCTGAAGAGCTCCTGAGATGCAGAAATTACACAGCACCTACGGTTCAGTAATGGGCACATGACAAAATCTAGCATGCCCGCACACATGCAACAATAAATTTATGTGAGCCACGATGGCTCTGGCGGCTCTGGCTCTGGAGAAGCCATTAACTCTTCAATCTCATCCCAGTCAGGCGGAGCTTCATTATCAATCTCGTCAAGCATAGCATCGATCTCTTCGCCAACCTTATTGCGGCCCGTCTTAGGCTTCTTTTTCTTCTGCAGCCAACCATCCATCCTCGGACGGAGAAAAGATCAGGCCAAACGACCACAAATCTCGGCATGTTGATATGCACTAATGCAGCTGGACACTTCGCTTTCAATCGATCCAGTCGTTCGTTGTGCGAAGACCTAGCTGGGCTTATGTAGACTGATACTTTGAAAGGTCGCGTATGACCATGACACTGTGTATGGCCTAGCCACTCTGTCTTTGCTCGCAGCCGGCGTACTTTTGCACAGCCTTTCTTCAGAAGGCCGGCTATAACTTTGCGATCCATCTCCGGCAATTTCCCCGAAGCCGCATTGTCCACCTTGCTTTGATCAGCGGGGCTTTGTTCTACTGAGCTTGCATATATCTATATATATGTGTGTATATATATATATATATATGAAATTTGATTTCAAGGCACTGCGACTTCGAAAACTCGGGGGGCAGGAACCTGGTTCACCACCACATATCCTCGGAAGGTCAATTCCACAGCACAACATATCTCGACCAGGGAACAAGACGTACGAAACCAACAATATATCCAAGGGACGGAGGGATTCCAGCACACTGTCGAGGACGGAGAAGCCCTCGTGTTCGATCCAGTCTGTGGGCAACGAGCTCTTCGGGTGGGCGAATCTCATAGCGTTCGGCCACATTTGCCCAACACCTCACCGTATTTATGTACAGAGCACGGAATACATCACTGGATCTCAGCGTAAGCACGAAATGTTCTGAGCTGAGAGCTTTTCAAAGGACGTAGAATTGGCTTGAGAGCCAACGTTATTGTCTTCACCACCTACAGTCTAGCTGGGCCACACCGTGCATGCTGTGCTCCTCGATCTGTCCTTGAGTTAATTTGCAAGCGAGCCACATCTTCCTCGGGGGATAGAGACACTTGTGCAGGATCGGCGCAAGGATTCTCCTCCTCTACGACAACTTATTTTTATGGAAAGTGCAGGAATCTGTCCCAGGAGTCCTCAGTCTCCATGGCTGCTGACTTTCTAAGAAAACACGAACACGAACCCAGTATTTTCAAGCTTCTGTGGCTTTGCCAGCGACCCGAAGGCCGAACTTCTACATCGATCTGCTCTATGACTCTAATCATAAGGAATTCCTCACATGCTCCGGTCCGTATGAGCCATGAGCCAGACTGCGATCCAACGTCATTTAGCCTGCTGCTCACACAGACTCACTCGGGCACAGCAGGGGCACTTGGAGCACCTGGCTTTGGCAAGACCAGCTTCAGCAGCTGGTTCA